ATTTTAAATATATATTCAAACACAAAACAGTTACTTTAAATAAAAGTTTACAATTTATTTCACACTTTTCAATCAAATAAATGCAGCCTTGGTGAGCATGAGAGATGTATGCATTAAAAAAATTACATACCCAAACTTTTAAACAGTAGTGTATATACATCAAATGTATAAGTAACTAAGAGTTAATAAATTATTATTTTATCAATATTTTTTTCAATTACATGTGCTCAAAGCTCTTTGCACTTCAAATAGTGCAAATTGATGTCTGTGTGATGTATGCCACACATTGTGTGCAAAAATGTTTAAAATATATAATATAAAGAGCAGATATAAACAGTACAATCCAATATGCAATAAAACAAACAAAAGAGTTTCTGAACAAAAATCAAAGGAAGTTTCTAAGCAGCAGAACATTGCTGGTCCATGTACTGGAGGGGGACCTGGGGCTGAGGCAGAGCTGGCGGGATGGGGACCCAGGGCAGAACCAGCGGCCACCACAGCGGTGTGTGTGTAGCTGCCATCTTGGAACGGGCAATGGCGGGCTCTGCCGCTTCGGGAACCCCAGAGGTGAGCACTGCCGCTTTGGAAAGACCAGAGGTGAGCTTCGCCGCCTTGGAGGAAGTGCGAGTGGACACTGCCGCTTCGGGGGAACTGTGAGCGGACACCGCCACTTCGGGAGATTTGTGAGCAGACACCGCCGCCTCGGGGGAACTGTGAGCGGACACCACCGCTTCGGGAGATTTGTGAGCAGACACCACCGCCTCGGGGGAGCTGTGAGCGGACACCGCCACTTCGGAAAGGCCTGAAGTGAGCTCCGCCGCCTTGGAGGGAACTGATGAGGGCTCCGCCTCTTCGGCAAGGCCTGAAACTAGCTCCGCCACCTTGGAGAGAATACTAGCGAGCTCCGCCGCTTCCGGAAGGCCTGAAGCAAGCTCCGCCACCTTGAAGGGAATATCAGCGGGCTCCACCACTTCGGGAAGGCCTGAAACATGCTCCGCCGCCTCAGAGAGATTTCTAGCGGGCTCCGCCGCTTCGGGAAGGCCTGTAGCAAGCTCCGCCACCTTGAAGGGAACATAAGTGGGCTCCACTGCTTCGTGAAGGCCTGAAGCGAGCTCTGCCGCCTCGGAGAGAGTTCTAGCGGGCTTCGCTGCTTTGGGAAGGCCTGAAGCGAGCTCTGCCGCCTCGGAGGGAACATCAGCGGGGCTCCGCCGCTTCGAGAAGGCCTGAAGCGAGCTCCGCCACCTTGAAGGGAACATCAGCAGGCTCTGCCAGTTCGGGAAGGCCTGAAGCGAGCTACGCCACCTCGGAGAGAGTACTAGCGAGCTCCGCTGCTTCGTGAAGGCCTGAAGCGAGCTCCGCCGCCTCAGAGAGTACAAGCGGGCTCTGCTGCTTCCGGAAGGCCTGAAGCGAGCTCTGCCGCCTCGGAGGGAACATCAGCGGGCTCCGCCGCTTTGGGAAGGTCTGAAGCGGGCTCCGCTGTTCCGGGAAGGCCTGAAGCAAGCTCCGCCGCCTCGGAGGGAACATCAGCGAGCACCGCCACCTCGGGAGGATCGTGAGCGGGCACAGCTGCCTCGGGGGCTTTATGAGCAGGCCACGCCGCTCGCACCGACATCAGCGGGAGTGGGCTCCGCCGCTTCGAGAAGGCCTGAAGCGAGCTCCGCCACCTTGAAGGGATCATCAGCGGGCTCCGCTGCTTCGAGAAGGCCTGAAACAAGCTCTGCTGCCTCGGAGAGAATACTAGTGGGCTCCGCCGCTTCGGGAAGACCTGAAGCGAGCTCCGCCGCCTCGGAGAGATTACTAGCAGGCTCCGCCGCTTCGGGAAGACCTGAAGCGAGCTCCGCCACCTTGAAGGGAACATCAGCGGGCTCCGCTGCTTCGGGAAGGCCTGAAACAAGCTCTGCTGCCTCGGAGAGAATACTAGCGAGCTCCGCCGGTTCGGGAAGGCCTTAAGCGAGCTCCGCCACCTTGAAGGGAACATCAGCAGGCTCTGCCAGTTCGGGAAGGCCTGAAGCGAGCTACGCCACCTCGGAGAGAGTACTAGCGAGCTCCGCTGCTTCGTGAAGGCCTGAAGCGAGCTCCGCCGCCTCAGAGAGTACTAGCGGGCTCTGCTGCTTCCGGAAGGCCTGAAGCGAGCTCTGCCGCCTCGGAGGGAACATCAGCGGGCTCCGCCGCTTTGGGAAGGTCTGAAGCGGGCTCCGCTGTTCCGGGAAGGCCTGAAGCAAGCTCCGCCGCCTCGGAGGGAACATCAGCGAGCACCGCCACCTCGGGAGGATCGTGAGCGGGCACAGCTGCCTCGGGGGCTTTATGAGCAGGCCACGCCGCTCGCACCGACATCAGCGGGAGTTCCTGCACGCTGCGTATACGTCGGGAATAGGTGTAAGGTACTGGGTGCGGCAGACGAGGCCTCTGACTTCCCTTGTATTGCCGCTTCGGGAGAACTGTGAGCGGGCTCAGCAGCTAACACCACCCTGAAGGCTGAACCTCTCAAATGCAGAGCCAGGTTAATGTAGTCCTCCAGCGACTCATCGGGGACCCAGTATGGCATCAGAGACTTGAAGGGCCCGGCCAGGCCTCCCCAGAAGACGACCATGAGGCAGGTCTTCTCCATCGCCGACCGATGAGCCACTCCAAAGTAGTCCCTGGCATATTCCTCAATACTCTGGTCTCCCTGACGGATGTTGAAGAGGTTCCCTGCTGGACCCATGTCTGCTGGCTGAATTCTGTCACGGTGCGGGTAAGGGAGCACCGTGGAAAAACAGGGTCTGGGTCCAAATGCAGATGAAACTAGATTTATTTAACAGAAAGGCAGACAAAAAGTATCAGGTGAGGGATACAAATTCGGCAGCCAACTTGCTTGCATCAACCTACATACAAAACAAATACAATTACAATTAATTCAGCCAGGCAGAGTGGTGAGTGAGAGGAGAATATATAGTCTGTGACAATGGGGAACAGCTGAGGGTGTAATGAGTGACAGGTGAGTGGAGTCTGGGGAATGGAGTCCGGGAGGAAGGGAGATGGCGACCTCTGGTGGTGAGAGGGAGAAACAAAGGGCCCGGACCCCTGACACTGCCCTGGGCCCTAGCCTCTAAGATGAAGCTCTGTCGTGGGGCCTAGCCAATACAGCTTCATCTGAAGGTTTAATCTTACTGATGCATTGAGCATCAATGTTCAGTCTTCCCTTAAGCTAAACTCTTTTTGCATTGCTCTGTACTGGAGCAGAAGCCAAAAGTGCAGTTCATCCTTTAATTTTCAATTTGGCAATGAATACTACTTGTACACACTGCATAGACAGTTTACAAGCCACACCAGGATCGAATTTACTACCAATCAGCAGGTTTCACACAGTCAGTGAATTTCAAGCCTCCTGTACAGATGAGACAGCTCATAGATGCAGACACACTGCAGCGTATTGTTTAACACTGAAACAGCGTGCTGCTGTCTGCTTGACTCAGTGGAGATGGGACAGATAGTGTCTATTGTTCTCTTGCACACTGCAAGGAAAGATTTCCATGTTTCCATTGTCATATGTGTGTGTGTGTGTGTGTGTGTGTGTGAAACACTCAACTCACATGTTGGCTTCACATGATTACTGCTCTCCTTCTGTCTGGAGAATAACTGTGTGTGTGCAAGTGTGTCATTGCACAGATGGTTGTTGAGCTCAGGAACGCTAAAGCAGCCAACAGGGACACTGGAGTGAGTGAGAGAGAGAAAGAGAGAGAGAGAGAGAGAATGTGTTTAGCACGGCTCCTTATTCGGAATGGGTCACGTGAGCACCCGGTTGCCTTGGTAACTGCGGTTCTGAATTGCAGGTAGTATGGCTCAGAGATGCTGTCCTTTAAAACCCCCTCCATCTATCTAGATAACTATCAGCACTAGAGTCTGATTACTGATTAATGATCTAGTTTTGATGCATGAAATGATAGAACCTTGACAGGCTGTTTCAGAGATTTGAGTTTAGCCTTCTGAGCCTTTATTAGCTCTCTGTTTCAGGATTGAAGTGCATGTGCTAAAATAAACCCAGAGCAGAACAAACAATGTATATTCATCCTATTTTTTTGCTCTCTCTCATTATGACACCTTGCACAGACCTATTTGCAGACAGGTTTTTTTTAGTACCTGTTAAAAGCATGAATTACATTTTTCTTCCCAGTATGTCATTCTGATTATGCAAGACATGTAGTGTTTAACATGCTACACTTGAATTTCCATAAATAATCCCAGAGGAAAATTTTATTGCTCAGTGGTTGCTCTTTGCTCATGGCTCAGGAAGCAATAGAGGAACCTTTTTTAAATCTTTGTCTTTGATGTTTCTCCTAAAATTCCTGTGGAATTTAAACCAGAAACAATTTAGATAGCTGTTGACACAGTATAGAATAATATTACAGTGTTTTATAGTAAAGTATAGCCCAGGGGTTTTGGAGCCTGCAAAGGAAAGCTAGATGGTCTGTAGAAATAACTAAATAAATAAAACTTAGATTACACTAAATCAATTTAACAGTCCTATAATTAACATTTTAGGAATATATTTATTATGTAATTTTTTCATAGTATAAATTGGGTCTTTATACAAGAAGCTATATAGATGCCTTGTAAATGTTATGGATGGGAGCTGACTAAAATTTATCATATTTGGGGGTTTGTGGCATTCAAAAGATTGTAATCTATTGGTATAGCATTATATAGTTTAGTCTTGAATATTTTATGATAGTCAAGATTATTTGGAAAGAATTAAATGAAAATACATTTTTAATTATAATCTCATCTTGCAGACTGGTACATGTATATATTGGCAAATCTGAACACAGTTTGAGACATTGTCGAGATCTGAAACTCTAGAGGAGATGTTTGAGTTTTCTAGGGTCCATTTCTTAAAAACATTTTTAGCACACTGCTGTTTGAGAAACAACAAAAGATTTCCTTTATGATTTTAGAGTTAAAATAAAAGATGAAACGGACAGTTCAAGAACTCATTGCAGCCAGTGTTATAAATTGTCCTGTTTCTCTCTTTCACAGGTCAGAGGTAAAATGGGAGGGAAGCTGAGCAAAAAGAAGAAGGGATACAATGTGAACGACGAGAAGGTGAAAGAGAAGGACCCAAAGACGGAGGGAGCGTCGGCGGAGGAGGGTGAAGCTCCTAAGGAAAACAATGAGGGCACTGCTGCTGCCACCGAGACAACCAATGACACGGCGGCGGCCGCCAAAGAAGCCACGCCCACCGCCGATAGCAACTCCACTGCACCCAAGGAGGAGGATAAAAGCGCCGCCCCTCCGAAGAAGGAGGAGCCTGTGGTGAATGCTAATGCTCCTAAAGCTTCTGATGCCAAGAGCAGCGAGGCTGCCAAAGTAGAACCCGCCAACAGTCCAGATGCCCCTCCTGCCAAAGCGGAAGAAAAATCTGCCCCTTCTGCAGCTCTGGCCAATGAGAAAGAAGCTGTGAAAGAGCCTGCTAAAGATCCCACCCCTCCTGTAGCCAAAGCGATGGAGAGCAAGCCCGACGCTGAGTCTAAAAAGACTGAGGCTCCGCCCGCAAAAGAATCCGCCCCCGCAGAGCCAATCACCACGGAGTCCAGCCCCGCCCCCAACAAGGAGCAAGCAGTCGCTGTGCAGGATTAACAGAAGGAACAGTTAATGACAAGATTAATGACAAATGAAAAACCAGATCAAATCTAAATCATTAAAACTAGCCCACCCATTTTAAACTATATCAGTAATTATAATATGAATAATGATAATAGTAACAATAACAATAATGATTTTAACAGGCTGGACTGATCATTGTGTTGGTGATGGACATGATCATGGTGAATAAGACTGGCAGTTGTGATGATATTATCTTTAATATCCAATTGAACTTTGATACAAACCACCAGCCCCCAACTCTCTCTCTCTTTATCTCTTTTCACCTTTCTTTCTACCTCCATTCAATGAGGGGTGGAATACAAACATGGAATCTATTCATTGCCACCCTCCGAATCTCACTTCCCTCCATTTGAGTGTAATGTGATGGCAGTGAGTGGGGTTAATATATATATATATATGTGTGTGTGTGTGTGTGT